AAATCGAAAAGATTTACCCTTGTTTTGGTACATTTTGGTTATTTTGGTTATTTTGGTTGTGTTTTGGTTTTTTGGTCGTCTTTGGTTTTTTAGTGAGACCCAATGACTATCTATCTATTTAAGTAATCAAACTAAACAAATTGTTAATTGTAAAATTAAAAAGCGCTGGATTTAACTCTATGTTTGTCGGCAGCAAAAAATATCGGAACAGCTATGAAAACAGCTAACAAAACAGCTAGCTTTAAGCGGCGCACAAAAACAGCTGAGTTAAGCCGTTAACCCTATTTTAACTGAATTATTTGTGAAGTTATTTGCTAAATGAATCTTAATTGCTATTTTTTGTGATTTTGTTCAATTTAAATTGTTGTTTAAATTATTAAACAGTTAATTTACTAAGATTACGTGGTTGAATTAGGTGTCACCAAGGTAAAAATGTGCCTTTATAAAATCTTTGTATTGTTAATAGATTCAGGTTTGTTAAGCTTTTTGTTTTCTTGTTTTATCTGTTATTCTTGTTGATTGTGGTTTGTTTTATTGTTGTCTTTTTTTCACTGTTGCATGTCAACCACTAACATCATTATCATCATCATCATGTCATCAACAGGATTGTCACAATGCTGATGGAAGTGAAATTAGATGGAAAGAAGATGAAGACCGAGAAGATGGCAAGGAAAGGATAAAATGGGGAGGAAAACAAAATGGGTGGTAAGCAGTTTTGGATGATGTTAAAGGGATTTCCGGATGAAATAATAGGCGGATCTGGATTATATTTCCCCTGTAAATGATCATAATATAATATAAAACAGATCTGATGCTATCATCACCATCATCATCATCATCACCAGTAACACTGGTAGTAATAGTAAAATCATCAATGTCCATCCACGGATCGTTTTTTTCAGTATGTTTCTGTGTCGCTTCACTCTCATCTAAATGTATTAGTTTTGAAAAACAACAGCAAAACAAATGATTGTAAACCAATTTACAATCGCGTGTTATGCCAATCTCCGAGCTTTTCTGTGCCAGTTATACTCCAACCTTTGAATTTAAAGATTAATCATGATTAATTGAATCTCAATTGTATGAAAATAGATGTTCATAGCAAGAAGAGAGAAAAAAACAACTCAAAAAGTACAAAACTACATCAAAAGGACTATTATTATTATGAAGATCAACCTTATGAAAGCGTAAAAAGAAACCCAATTTTTTGCTTGTTTCTCTCAATCGATGGTAATCAATTTAACCTACGCTAATAGCTTATAATTAGGTCCTAATAGAGGAAAAGAAGAGGAAAGCACAAAAAAGAAGAAGAAGAAAGGAAAATGATGATAATGATGATAGAGTCGTTAATGTGACCTGAGGTCACTGAGATGAGAAAAGCTTGTAAGTGAGTCAAAATGAAAGCTAAAATAAACCAAGCAAAGAGTCATTAGTAAAATAATGTACATAAGCTGAATTATATTATTTCATTTAATGGATCCCTCAATGAATCTGACAATGTTGCATTATTCAATATTCAATTGTTATTTCCAATTTACAGGACCAGATAAACGTTAATGCCATTGGAATAAAAAAAAGGAGAAAAACAAACGTTAAATGGATTGGAGACGAAATTAAATTATCAAAATGAAAAGGCCTAAAGCAACCAAGGAGTCAAGCAAACCTCAAGGAACCTCAAAAAAGTAAAGGAACCTCAAAGAAACCAAGAAACCTTAAAGATTCTTAGGAAACTCAGAGAACCAAAGGAGCCTCTTTGAAGACATGGGAACCTCAAAAAAATCTAGGAACCTGTAAATAGGAAGCATATCAAGAGTGGAACCTCTATTTGGACAAAATTTGGATCTTCACAATGAAAGGATTCAAATGTGCACCTTATACAATTGGACATGTTCAAGATTAATTTAATGATTATTCTGACTGACATCATGACAATGGAATGGCAAAAAATTAAAACAAAATTTGATAAATATATCACAACTATAATCGTGATTGGTATATTTAATATCATTAGAGTTGTTCAACATTCACTTTGAGTTTATCCATAAGTTTATTTCCATCTGGCTGTTCATAAAATTATCACATCAACATAACTTCCTTTGCTTCTCTACACTTTTTGTGAATTCCCGTGAAACTCAAACTGTTCATTGGTTAACAGGGTACTTTGTTAATATTGAATTAAAATTGAGTATTCAAACTTTCCTGTTCAAATGTGTAACCAACAAAAAACAGTAACTGAAAAGCTGTTATTCATGTTAACCCATTTAATTTAATTCCCTTTTTTTGGTTTGTTTGTTAATCCATTCAACTATTAGAACCAAAAAATGTATTCAATTATTTTGTATTTATACATTGTTTTGTTATCTGTTTGAATAAGACTTTCAATTCATTTCAATTTTAATTCAATTTTAATTCAATTTTAACACCAACCACAATTGTAAATGTAAACCAGATACACCTTCAACTGTTTACCTTTACAATGATAAAGCTATTAACCGTAATATTTACTCAGTGAGAGTACAATCAAAATCAATAATTGTTCAAGAACAAAAAATTGGATTCTCAGTACAAAAAATATAGCAAAAGACGTTAAATTTTGATGATTTCAGCCTTGATTGGTTAAAGAGGTTAATTATTAAGCTTATGAAGTTAATGATGGCGTTAATTGTGTTCATCATGACTGACAAAGCTGTAAACAACCTAAAAGATGGTTAAATATTGAGATTTGTTGGTGGGAAAGTTTTGGCTTATTTCACCGAGATCTTCAAGCTTGACAATATGTAAACACAAGTTGGGCCAAATTTGCGTCTCATAAATATCCTGGCAAACTGATCCCATGAAAATAGCTGTGAGATGATAAATTCAGTTTCAAGGTTCAGGGAAAGTGAAAAATGAAATTATCTGTTGTTACATTTTCATGGGCTGCTAATAAAAAACACTGAACTGGTGATAAAAAACAATTCAAGTCAACTATAAAATAACAGTTGAACAGCAATCACAGCTTTTTTTAGTCCCAGTGAAGCTAAAGGAAAAATTGTTTCTAATATTGTTTGGGCTGACAATTAAAGTAAATTATTCTCGAGTCATCAGCTTATTCACTGATTAATGCTGTTTAATGGCAACAATTTGAACTTCTCCTAATGATATATTGAAATAATGTTAATTAATGATTTAAATTGATATCAAAATGAATCATTAATTTTGGGTATAAAAAGGTTGAAAGCAAATGAAGTGAATCTGTGTGATTATATTGAACATTTACAGGAAAATAATGACAATTATTGCATTAATTATTCGTAAAGATGAAAAGGATTGTCATTAAATGAGCAAAAACATATGAATAATTGAATATTAAACAAGGAAAAGTGTCAATAATTGAAAACTGGATACAATTAAGTTGAAAATACGTGATAAAAGTTGAGATGATTTGATGTTGTTAAATAATCCAAATAAACATTGTTATTGATAAATGTTTTCAACCATTTTCAATCTTATAAACTTTACCTTTCAAATGTTCCAAGTTTAACTTTGACAATAATCACTGTAATAATATCCTAAATTGTGTTCAATATATTCATTAAATTATCCATTATGATTGAAAGTAAAAATGAAAAGAATCATTAATTTTTATGATTGATTTTCATTTTGCAGTGAAAGTTAATGATACAGTTTGACACAGAATAGAACCAGAAAAATTGCATTAAAAATGAAGACACACTTGATGATGAACCAAATTATAGCCTTTCAAATCACTCAATGAATATGCTCATTGATTCCACAGTTGAACATGGTAATCAGATAACTATTGAATAGAACATTTATGCACAATAAACCAATTCTGATTCCCTAATAATGATCATGAATATGAGTTTAAATTGCTCTTCTAATCACAAACACAGCAAACCCAAGAAAACCCAAAAAAATATTCAACAATGAAATTGAAAGCAATACCAAGAAAAGTGATCCTAAATTCAGTCAATAAAATAGATGAAATTCAATGTTGGCGAAACTGAGAAATGCAAAGAAAAATGTTGCCAAAACGTTTAGTAAATACTAATTTTAAAATTTAGAGATTTAATTGAAATCCAAGACTGGGAATGGAAATGAAATGTCCATTTTTTGTCGTCAAAATCATTGACAAAAAATTCCATTCAATATTTGGTTTCAATTTCCACGCTCCTGACTCATTCCCTGAATATTTACATTGGACACTTTGACATGTTACAGTAAATTTTTCAACTTATTCAAGCGAAACTTGATAATGTTAAGAATAACATTTTGCTATTCTCACATCCAATTCCCTGTATTGTAAATATTAATAATGAAATATCTTTTCTGTGTGTTTGATACGTTTCTAAATCAACAATTGCAACCCAAAAATAATATGGAAACATTTTTTCTCTCTCTCATTCTTTCCATATTACAATTTGTATAAATATTTTATAAGCTTGATTCCTTCAATTGATTTTCATTTTCTAAGGTTCTGCTACACTCAACATTTTGACAAGTATTCACGGTAAAATTGGTTGCTATTAATTTTTAATCATCCAAAGAGGAAACAATTTTCACTCTCAGCCAATATTGTCACTTGTACAGCATTAGTCATTCCAGATTATTATGTAAAGCGAAACCTTTTTGGATTAATATTTTGCGTTTTTTGCTCTTCAAACGGGAAACGCTTTTTCTTTACAACCTTTCAACTGATAACTTATTAATGGTTTCCAACAATTTAATCTAATTTGATGTAATCAAGAACAAAAAAAAGGTTGCAAGAGCTTCAAGAAATAATAAGCAAATGTCAGTCCTTTTTAAATGCTGTTGGCAGTCACGGTTTGATTGTCCTTATGCTTACACTTGGTCATCATCTTCATCATATTCATAATCATTTCCTTCATCAAATATTAACAAACCTTTATTGGTGTTGTTGCTGTTTTAGCATCAATGGATAATTGGATTTAGTCATCTTAAGTATTATTACTTGGAGTTGAGGACTTTATGAATGTGTTATGAGTATTGCTCATGTAATCATACAAGTTATTCAAGTTTCATTCCCATTTTTATCCGCTACTTTGCTGGCAAGGAAAACTGCTTTTAAAAACAAATGAAAGCTGAAAAGCATTTCAAGAAAATATTTGCTCTTCAAAAATTTATCAATTATCATTTAGGAATCAAAATATTTAGGAAGGAAAGACATTTGTAAACATTTTATGGAGACTTGAGTTTGGTACATCATTGAATAACATTTTCATTGTAAGAAGCAGTTCTGGCCATTTTAAGATTCAAATGTTTTCTTGTTGAAAAATTTATTTCCATTTTAGTCAAAAAGCAAAGATTTGTCAACATTTTTGTCCATTTGTAAAGTGAATCTTATAAATGGTTCATGAGTATGATTACAGGGGAAATCTAGTTCAAGTTTCTTTCAGTCATTTGGATGATCATCATTTTTGGCTTCACTTTTTTTCCTCCCACCGTTTCTTGACCACAATTAGGAGGAGGAGAGATATTTAAGATGAAATAATGGAGTAAACAAACGACCCATTCCATTATTATTATCATTATTATTGGAATTCTCAGTTATCTTGATGTTGAAAGTCCATCAATCGTGTTGCCACAAACAAAAGTCAACAATCATCATTACCAAGAGATTCAGTCACATCATTACCTTGTTCATTCCTTGACCAGGCTGAGAATAGGAAATATAAAGAGAAAGTCAAATGCAAGTATTGATATTGAAAGTGATAACAAAACTGTTTCAGCTTTTTTTACATCGAAATCATTTTTCTTCTTCTTTTCCTATTCCAAGTTATTTGAAAATTGAAAAAAAACTTTCAACAATTGAATAAGCTTAATTTACCGTTAATCTAATTGAATAGAGAAATATCAATTTCAATTTAATAGTTGATCTAATCTAATCCACAAAAATTGCATCGATTCAATTTAAGAATAATAGCAAAACATTCCCAACCTTCCAATGGCAACATTGAAAAGAAAAGCTCAAAGCACTTCAGTTTTGACTTGAAATAAACCTGAAAACATTTTCATGGTAAATCTAAATAGCAATATTTTATGGTTAATCTCATGTTAATATTATAATACATGAACACTCAGAACTGGACTCAAAAGAAATAGAAACAATGCCACTTGGATTTGGACATCTTAATTCAGAATGAATCAATGCTACTGTTTTCATCTTTCTTCTTACAATGTCTTAAGTTTGCGAAACATTTTCTCGACTCATTCATCGTTTGTTGAAATTTGAATTCAATAGAAAGAAATGTTCAATTTAGAAGCAGTTTTGGTTCACTTTGGATAAATTGAGAACATTCAACTCTTAAAACCGTAGATTCAATTTTATGCTACGAAATTTTAAAATAAAATCCAACGAAAACACTAATATTATTTTGTAAAATCTATGAAAAATTCATCTAAAATTGGCTCTAATTGATCTATTTATATTAGGGTGTCAAATATATTTTGCGGTTCACTATGAAAAAAATATTTGATTGTGATTTTTTTTGGCTAAAACATTACTTAGCCTTAATTAATCAGTATAAAACAAAAAAAATCAAAATCGGACAAATATTCACGAAATTATTGCATTTTTACAGCTTTTTAAAGGGTACAAAAATCGACCAAAATTTTTTTTTTCACCAACTTTTTTCATCAAATTTTCTAGCGACGCGTCACAAAATTTTTAACCTCAGATTCTCGATACTTGCGAACCTAACCTAAGTACCTGATCTCATCTCTATGGACCCCAATCTATCTTAATTTTTAGAAAATTCATTCAAAGAAGACTAGGTCTATTCAGGAACGGAGGTCAAAATCAATTTTGTCGATTTTTTCGCTATAAATTTTCGGACGCTCACAAAAACGACATCAATTATTCGATTTGGAAAATTGAAACGATGTTTAATACTACGAGTCCATAATTTGATTTAATGAAATTTCAGTCAATTCAAGGCTAAACTTCATACCCAACCGCAAAACTTATTTGACACCCTAATACCTTCTAAGTTTAAGTGGTTTACATCGCAGATCATTTTTAAGCGAAGTACTGTACAATGAAAAAAGTTGAGTGCTTAACTCGAAAAGATAAAAAAAGTAGAAAATTCTGAAGACCTTTTTTGAAATATAAAATTCATTGTAAATTAGTTTATTTTTTCAATATCAATTACTATTGCATAAATACATAGAACTTGAAGATTAACTTCAGGAACTTCCTCAAGTTATTCCGAATGTATTCAGTCCAAAAGATCATTTAGTCAAGTAGAACAGTTGACCGTGAACATATGATTTGGGAATGTCTTGAACAATATCAACGGGCTCTAACGAAGGGAACATCGGAACGGGTGCATGACCTAATTGTTGTGTTCCTCGTTGGAACTTGAAGAAACCTGGAAAAGTAAAAAAACACGTTTGAATAATATTTTATGCAATAAAGGAAAATAAAGAGAAAATGCAAACTAACCTTTTTCACCCCATGCAGTTCCCCATGAATTAACTGCCAAAAAATAATCGACACCGTTTTCAGTTCCCCAACCGATGATTTTTATATTTTGAACTCCCAAATATCTGTCACTGAGACGCTTGTAAACACCTGAAAAGCAAATTATTTCATTATTAAACTAAGCTTCAGATAAAAAATTTGACCTTTCTATTGATTAATATTCATTTTACCTGATTTGTAGCTGAGAAAATCTGAATAAACTGCCATGTAAGCCGATATCGGCCCATCCAGCGTTATGGAGCTCATTATTTTATCTTCATAATTGACGTAATTATTGGTAACAGCAAAATATCTGTTTAGTTTGATTTCGTTGGGTTGACATTTTTGTGAAAATGGTAAGCAACTTGATTCCTTCACTGATTCAACTGTGAAGACTCCATTTTTAGCCCAGTATTTCAGTGCTTGACCAATGTTTGCACTGTTATTATAACTGTTGGAACCAACATTCGATTTGATCATATGCTCGACGGTAGCTTCAACATCAATCTGAACACCATGTTTGATGCAAAGGCGATCAGCAATTGTACCAACAGCCGTGTAGATCCATGAAGGATAACCTTTTCTTTGGTCATAGATCTTACCAATTGAAGTGCAGTTAGGCCAAGCTTCACGAGCATCGAAGTTCACAGACAATTTCATCGCTGGGTATACGTCAGTTTGAGCATCCTGAGTGTAATTTAAATCGTTTTGAGTGGAAACCAAATCATCCATTCGGACTGAACTTGATCCATTTAAATTTATACCTGCCTAATGTGATGATATAACGAAAATATTGAAATTTCTATTAAATAAAATGTAAGATTTACCTTCCATGTTGTGTTCAAAGCGTTGATTGCATCAATAATTTCATCTGTTAATGGCTCCAAATCACTATATGTATATTCTTGAGCACTAAGGGAATAAACAAAAAGAGTAGCAATTAAAAAGAGTTTCATCTTGAACGTTCTCACAAAGTATCAGTTCAGTGTCAGTGGAGATAAATTTGAAATCAGAAATGATGTTCGAGCTTACTAAAGGCTCTGTTTTTATACATGATTTTCAGTTTACAAGCAATTCCAACAATCGGTTAAAAGTGTTTTACCAATCTTAATATGTAAATGAACAATGGAAATATCTTTATTTGGAATGAATGGGGAAAATCACCTTCATTTTGTGTTGATGTTGTCGTTGATCAATTTATAATTCATCCAATAATGCTCCAAATTTGGTGTATATTGGAGTAATAATAAAACAATAATAGAGTTTGAAGATAACAGAAAAATAGATTATCATTATTCGGTGGTAGTTATCATTATTGCATATATGGTTATCGATGAAATCAAAAGAAAAAGAAACGAATTATTAAAAATTCTATTAATCGAAAGAACTGATTGAGAACTGAAAAGAATAACAATTAAGAAAAATTTCATTGTAACAACTTAAGTTAGCAGTGAATTGAATAAATGTAATATTAAACGTTTTCAAATGAAATAACAAGAATTGATGGAAAAGCTCGATCAACATTCTCGCCTTATAAAGGAGAAACTGATAGTTGTCAGCAAATAATCAATGTCAATCACTTGAACCCAAAAACACCAGTTTAACCAATTCTCATCAAATATGCCAAATAAACAATAAATCGTCTTCATTAAATGTTTTACTTAATTGGCATTTGAATAATCGGAAACAAGCATCTTATCATTGCACAAATTCATCACATGAAACTATCATATGTAACCTGCTTGTTCAAGGTAACTTTTTGCTACAATAAGAAGATTTCATTTTATGTTGAATGTAAATCCTTTTTGATGATTGTTTTTCATGGTGATCACACGACTGCTGAAGTCCCGAAATTATTAGGTTGCGATGCAGAGAACAGTAGCCTTTGTAGCTTTTGCGTTTGAATGGTTTAATGTATGAATCGATGATAGAATTTCACAGTTGGCTCAGCTTCGAAACAAAATACCCTGAACATGAACTTTTCTAGTATACATTCGCATAGAAAATATCGTATTTGAAAAAATATAATTGATGGAATGTATAAAAGTCCGAAGTTGTCCAACTTGCTAAAGTTGATTTGCTTAAACATTGCAAATTTGATAGCAGATCCATTAACAATAGCTAAAGTATACACTGCTTTCACAGATCAACTGAATGACCATAAAAACGAGTCTCTAACAAGTGAGTGATCTGTAAGTGATCTTTGTACCTCACACTAATTATTTCACAGTTTAATAGCAATCGTATGATGACCTAGCTGCATCAACATCATCATCAAAGATTTGATTGTCATAAAATCAAATGCACCTTCTTATTGACGCACAAAGTTACCTTGAACGAGCAGGTTAAATGTGATATTAACTGTCAATACGAAATGATAACAATGACTATTGACATGCCGAGATTGACTTGCAAAACAACATTGATTGAATAACCAGAAAATGAAAGCACTCTGAACAAATTTTAATTTATTAATATTTTCATATTTTTGTATCTTTGAAGACTTAAAATTTAATTCAGCAAAACCTTTTTCTTAATTCATTCTTGCAACGAAAGTAGTATTTTTTAACGAATAACTTTTATTAAGATACTAACTAATAATATGATTTAAAGAAATGCGGCAAACCCCAGTTTCATCTAACTTTTCTGTTCGATTATTTAAATATCAACTAATGAAGAAGAAGAAGATCTATTGTTCATTTGGCATATTTGATGAGAATTGGTTAAACTGGTGTTTTTCTGGTTCAATCTACTTCTTTTTGAGGGAAGAATCTTCAGCAAGTTTATTCTTCCTTACTTGCTGTTACATTTGAAAACCTTCAATATTATATTTGATTTGAAAGCTTTAAGGTTTATTCAATAAATGTCGACGATTATATTTCTAGTGATTTGGGATCATTAACAGATGAAATTATAGATGCAATCAACGCTTTGAACAAAACATGGATCGATAAACTTATGAAATTAATGAATTATTAGATAGCTTGAATGTTGTTTTTAAAGCCTTTTATGTTGAAAATCAAAAAGCCAACGAAATAATAATAAGTATTTTCTAGTTGAAATATAAATAAGATAAATATTCATCCTCAGTTGGGCTAACTAGGAATCAATGATAAAGTTTTTGATTCTTTTGGTTCAAATTTATTAAAAGCAAAAAGATGAAGTTGAATGTGCAAGTAATTTTTAATATTCAATATTGGGTAACATTACTATTGCATAGATACATTAAACTTGACGAACATCTTCAAGAGCTGCTCCAAGTTATTCATGAATGCTATAATTGGAAGACCAGAAGATCATTTAGCCAAGTAAAACAGTTGACTGTGAACGTATGATTTGGGAATGTCTTGAACAATATCTACGGGCACTAACAAAGTTGAGATGGGACAAGGTACATGACCTAACTGTTGCGTGCCTCGTTGGATTTTGAAGAAACCTGAAATTACAAAGAAACACATTTGAATATTTTGTGCAATGAAGGAAAATAAAGCGTAAACAAGAGAAAGTAAACTAACCTTTTTCACCCCATTCAGTTCCCCATGAATTAGCTACCAAATAATAATCGACGCCGTTTTCAGTTCCCCAACCGATTATTTTTACATTTTGATATCCCAATCCGTTTTTCGAATAACGTTTGTAAACACCTGAAAAGAGCATTATATCATTACTAAACTAATCTTCAGATATTAATCATAACTTTTAGTCTTTTGATTAATTGCTATTCATTTTACCTGATTTGTAGCTGGGAAAATCTGAATAAATTTGCATGTAAGCCGATGAAGGGTAGAAATTCTGGTCTTCCTTCAACTGTACAAGATTTTGCTTCAATTCCTTTCTTTAGCTCTTAAAAGCTCTCAGTATTTCATTTTTCATTCAGTATTTTAACTTTAACTATTTCTATTATTTTACTTAATTATGTTTAAACTCATTGCTTTAGCAATCTCAGATTTCTAACACTAATTGACTTCTTCATTTGTTTGTTTTGAGACACACTTCATGTGCTGAAAAGGCGAAAAGCTTTTCTAAGCTATAATCCTGAAAATCTGACCACAATATGGTAATAATCTGGTCAGACAAGAGTAAAATTTAAGACACCAAAATTGTGCACAAAAAGAAAGAGTTACCATTTTTCCTTTCTTTTTTAACTCTTATCTCAGTCTTGTGACTGTTAATCCTTTTACACAGTGAAAGGCTACAGTTACCAATAAGGGTAAAATTATGTCTCAAGATAATGTTAGTAAGGGTAACAATGTCACCTAAAAATTGGAGACATAGCTTTTTTAGCTCTAATTGTTAAAACTGGTAAATTACCCAAAGTCGACAAATGAAGAAAGACAATTTAATTTACTTTCTGATTTTCCCACCAAATTTCATTTCTTTGTTTTAATCTTAGTATAAAAGAGATATCTTTAGATATTTGAATTCACTGATAATTTTCTAGTTACAGTCAACTGTTAATTTTCCAACATTTAACTTTGTTCAAGCTTTTATAAGCTACTCTTAATTTCATTAAAATTACAGTTTAACCATATTCATAAAGTAACTCAATTCCTTTTCGATTTCAAATAAACTTCATTCAAGTTAATCACTCTTTAAGAGTTCCTAATTGTTTTACTCTGTGATTCTGTTCTCAATCTTAAGTCTTAGCGACACAAGGGTTTCAGCCCCGAATAATTGTGAACCATAGCTTTAGCTATCTAAATCATCTCTCTGAGATCATAATTCGTAGTGTAAGTGATAAAGTGAACTGGACTGGTTTGATTCGGATGTGAATCCATGATGCGACCTTAAAACTTGAGATGAAAGCAAGTTGTGTAGTCTTCTAGTCAGATCTCTTCAGAGCTTAACCTTTCACCGATATCGGTCCTTCCAGCATTATGGATCTCATTATATTACTTTCATATTCAAAGGGCTCATTAGTAACCTTAAAATATCTGTTTAGTTTGATTTCGTTGGGTTGACATTTTTGTGTGTAGGGTAAGCAGCTCGATTCCTTGACTGATTCAATTGTGAAGATTCCATTTTTAGCCCAGTATTTTAAAGCTTGACCAATGTTTGCACTGTTATAATAACTGTTGGAACCAACATTCGCTTTAGTCATATGCTCGACGGTGGCTTCAACATCAATCTGAATACCATGTTTGATGCAAAGGCGATCAGCAATTGTACCAACAGCCGTGTAGATCCATGAAGGGTAACCTTTTCTTTGGTCATAGATTTTACCGATTGAAGTGCAGTTAGGCCAAGCTTCACGAGCATCGAAGTTCAAAGGAGCTTTCATCGCTGGGTATACTTTAGCTGGAATATCTTTGTTGTGATCGAAATCTTTTTGAGTGGAAATCAAATCATCCATTCGAACTGAACTTGAGCCATTGAAATTTTCACCTGCCTAATGTGATTATACGTGTGGTCACGTACTCAAAAATAGACAGACTGCTGTTAATATCTACTCTACGTCGTATCATCTTAACTGGTACACCTCTACAAAATAATCTCGATGAATATCATGTTATGGCGCAATTTGTCAAACCGAATTTACTTGGTACCAAAAAAGAGTTTACTAATCGGTTTGTGAATCCAATCAGTAATGGACAACACATCGATTCAACACCCGATGATGTAGATTTGATGAAAAAGAGAGCTTACGTACTTTATAAGTCACTTGATGGTTGTTCTTAAAACATATCTCCAGCCTAAACTTGAGTTCATCATTAGTATAAAATTAACTGAAAAACAAACACTGTCTTTTTCAAGTATGAATTCAGGCGAAAAAAGAAAGAGCCAATGGAAACGATTCGGTACCAGGAAATATTTACATAGCACAAGCCGATAAAGCCTCATCATAACGATAACCTTTTGTTATTAAAATTTCTCCATATGGAACCGATATGTCTTGCGTCAGTTCAACTGCTTGTTGTTTTTCGTTTTGTCTTGATCACTAAGAGAAGAAATTGTAATAATTACATATAAAATTATCATCAAAATACAGTTAACTTTAGAAAGAAAACCAATAAAGAAAACACAAATACCTGAAAATAGAAGAAAAATTAAAAATTTGAAAAAAAATAAATGAAAGGAAACAAAC